TCACTTTACTTAGATTCAATGAGACCCACGCCTCCAAAGGTGTCGTGCGTTCAGGACTAACCGTTAGGAATTCCTAAATGGAGTCAATTTGTGTAGTTTTCTTGATTTATTCTGCAGATATCGGTAAAATGTAGGTAAGGCTTTGGCGAAATTCGAAGGAGCAACTAATGTTCTTCAACCTGGTATTTTTTTTAGATTTTATTTTTTATTTTTTTCGTCTGTTTTTTCGAGTTTAAAAAATGTGAGCTGGCTGGAGCCTTCATCCCTTGTCTATTTCTTACACTAGATACCAGCCGATACCCCCCCCCCCCCCCCCCCCGCGCTCATAGAGACTGCGTATTACAGTTGATTATAGTTCCTGGGCTCCCTGTGGTTGTACAACTTCTATTTTTGGCCCTGCATCATCAGTCGTGGTGATTTTAATATTGTGTAGTGTTTGTGTATATATTCAATATATGTACCTTAATTTAATTTAATTTCACTATTTTTATGTTTGAACCTTTTCTCTGTGTTTTAAGTTCATGAATTTGGCAGAGAACGATTGAGTTCTATTGTTATCTAACATTCCCATGTATTCAATTAAGTGGATTTCACTTATCATCCAAAATAGCAAACTTAATTGAAACAAAGTGAATAATTAATGCTTTACAGTATGCAGAGTGACAAATATCACACACACTCAGTAGAACTAGACACTAGACAAGGCGTTCTTTATTCATCATACCATCTGTAATATGGTCAAACACGGTAGCCTAATGATGGCAATGATGTTGCAGAGAGAATATAAAATATTCATGATTAAGTTTGGATGACACTCTGCATTCTCAAATTACAACATACATGTCAGTAAACTTGTCAGGATCGAACTGTACTGTTTAGTTTGCTAGTTAGTTACAATGTCTAATTATACCTACTGTTCACTAGCAGTGAAGTCAATATAGTCAACACAACAACTCTTTGGCTGTCTGTGACAGTGTTTGCACTGTGCAACTCCTAATCAACTCCCAATCTCCAGGAAGTATTAATAAACTGATCGAACTACATGTAGGTATCAACTCACGAAAGCTAACTTTAATAGTTTGCATATATCAGCAATTTAAATGATTGTAATAAACCCACTAAACTTAAAAGACTGCAGGCATATTCTACCTTGTGATGACACCCTACATTATTAGTTGTACTCGCATATGCTGCTATGGCTTACATATGCTATGGGTGGTTACAGTCCTTGTCTCATTTGTATAACAATATATGGTGGTTTACCAGTGGTTGTTACTTTCTCAGTTATTGGTTGATCTAGTTCATGTGACATTACCCAATAATGTGCAATGTATACTGCGTGTCTGTTTTCTAAAACGCAAAATATTGTTGTTTTTCAGATGTGCCTATCTTGTTGCTAGTGTTCGTCACTATGTTACGATATCTCTGGAACTGATTGGTAGATGTATCCTTTATGTCATTATGTGCTTTAACGATTGACTTCTCTGAACGCAACATGTAGTATAACTTAGTTCAAAAGTTCTGAACATAAATAACAGATAGCTGAGATCTCGGCTGTAATTTCAGCAAAATGAAGAACTCAATTTATGTTTGATCTTTAACACAATTAATTCAGTTGCTCATATCTCAAGCGAAGAAAAAACCCATGTCCAGATGAACTTAATCAGAGTGATATCGGTAAGTCATCATCAGTTATTGCAACAATCTCGGATCAAATTACTGTGTTTGCCATATTTGAAAGCGTACATTAACTAAAAATTGCATGTGTTGCATTACTGGATCATTAAAAATCTATCTTAGATTGACCATGGACTCATCTGTCATTTACATAAGTGCATGCATTATGCTACTAATAGACTAAAAATAGGTACCAGTGCCTATAAATTGACCCAGGTATACCATATATCATATCTGCTCTACTAATAGTGCATAAAATTACTTCAATGGCAGACATGAGGCTACGGCCAAACTAAGTTATAGTTTTCCATGAATGCTATTTTAGGTTTTTGTGCACTTAGAGATGTGCTTGTAATAGAGCAATCCCTCCCAATTAAGGTAGAGATGCAGGTTCGTGGGCACTTGGGAGTGAACATTTTTTTGTTTGCTTTTTATTATCCAAAAAGTCTTGGCTATAGACTGTTGACATTTTGTAGAATTCTGAATAGTGGAACATACTCAAAAAACGATTTTAAAATATAGATAACAGGTGCAAACATTATCTCTTTTGAATGCTTAGCAAGATTTAGCAAGGCTGTACATAAATAATAAAAAAAAAACATGGTGAAAAAAGAAATGACGGGATCTCCATATTATGCACTGTATTTAACTTTTTACAAAACGATAATACATTTAAATTTGAAACTGTAACAGCCATTTTAATTATGAGCATTAGCAAACTTCTTACTGAGTGAATTGTTATGCAAATTAGCAATTATCTCAGCTTCTTTTTAATACACATTTCAGAACTTTAAAAAAAAATAGCTCCTAGACGCTTTGACCTTTTGAAATTTTCACAAATGATTGACAATGTGTTTATCTTCAAAACGCTGTCGGGGCATTGTTTTTAGTTGAATAGTGTTACAGCAATCGTACAGACAACTAGCCTGGGTGTTAATTTATGCATAAACTTGAAGTTGCTGCCCTACAAAATTGACAACTGGTAGACAGTTTTCAAGACGGCACTTTCTTCATAGTAAACAGATGTACCCATAAACCAATTTTGACAGGAAACAGAAGCATGGTTTAGAAGCTAATTTTTTTAAAATCACTTTTGACCAAAAAAGCACATTTTTGTGCATATTTCAAACTACAATGTCCGTAAAAATAAAATACTAACAAAACTTTAAAATTCATACAATAAGCTTTCCGAAAATATATAGTTTTGTGGACAAGGAAAGTCATCTTGGTTTCCTAATTAACTAATTAAAATACCTGTCAGATAAACTGCATCTCTACCTTAAAAAAAAAAATGCCTTGTCCAGCATCCACATACATTTGCTAGGCACTGATTCCCCACTGAATTCTTTGTTTTTATTTATCAGAATAATCCACCGGAACCAGTAACTGGCTGTCCCAGTGAGTATGTAGAACTTGCTAAGCAGCTGTGGAAGGATAAATTAAGTCCTGAGAATTCCAACATATTTACTGTGGAAATGCAGAATATTGTTCCATTTGGTGAGAACTTTTTTGTTTTCTAATTGTTTTTGAATGTTAAATAATGATAGTGATACTTTTATAAAACACAAAGCCACCAACTGTTCTTTTGTATCCTGGAATCTGGGAACCATACAGCTCGACTCATGTAGGCTCACATTAGCTAAGTGCCAAACTTTCTTTACTAGAATGTCCTCCCACTTTTCCTCCCATTTTTGAGATTGATATTTTGATTACTGTGTTCAGCTGCTTGAATTCTGCCAAGTTACCCAGGCTCCAATTGAGCACCTTAAAATGGTTTGTCCTGTGCTGTAATGAAACATTGCCTGGAAAACTGTGGGATGACTGAACGTTATAAATAATAATAAGGAGAGGGGTACACTGACTTGTATGTTATTCTTTATTTAGATATCATATCCTAGTCTGTTCAAATTTGACCTCTCACATGGTTGGATAAATATTAATAATAAAAATTGATTTAAATGATTTGTGGTACATGAATGCTATAAAACAATTACTAATTTGCATAATTAATCAATTTCCCACTATTATCTAAAAAATAAACAATTATTTCATTTCAACAAGACTGGGTAGACAAGTGCCCGGGGAAAGCTAAAGACCTGATTAGTTTTTAATTGAAATTCAAGCATACGAATTAATGAGATTGATTTGGCATGTACCACTTTTTGTGATAGGTTGAGTGGTTGCCATGGAAATGAGCAGAGTTCTATTTTTTTATAAATATATTCCATGTATTGTTTTACTTGAAGTTTGTCTTTAAATATTTAAGAAGATGCTTTGATATTTGTTAAATGGATGATATTTTATTGTTTTTCAGTGGAATGCAAAGCCAGATTTTCTACTAGTAAATGTACAGCAGATACCCCACTACAGTTACAAGTATATCTCAGGTGTGAATATGAATCATAAGTTTTGACAATTTCACAATTATTCCAAGTAACATAAAAGGTCCTAAAAGCATACTCAGCACAATATATGCATCTCCATTGTATTCACACATCTATTTTAATGAACAAGTCATGATTGTCCTGCACCTAACATTTCTTCACCTTTTGATAGTTTACAAATTAGGTTGCAGTTCGAAAAAAGAAATAAATAAAGATACTTTCGTGTTTTTTTATCGCCCATGTTATTTATGCTTCAAAGTCGCTACCTATTTTCTGTCATTAATTTTAAATCAAATACACTTCATGCAATCTTGTTCCTCAATTTTGCATAAAAATGTAAATTATTCTTCTAGAGAAACAGGTAGAACTGTTATGAAAGGACTGCAGGAGCATGTTGTACTATTCCGTGAAGATAACTTGAATATAAAAGAATTAATAAAATAAAGTCTTTTATTGTTTCAACATAAACTTGATCTCTCACAAGTCTACTAAAACACATTGTAACCCAGCTATATGATTTACATGTATACTTACAGGGCGTCCTGTCAGTTTCCGATCCGGTTTTCTAAACTCTGCGTTCTTCTCAACAACCATGCCTATAATGATTACTGTACTCTGGTTGATGGCCACACAGTGGGTGGTGATGGAGAAGCATCATATAGCAGTTGCCATGGAGATCTGTATCTCACACCTGGTCAGATCAAGATGTATGCGTTTGAGTTTGTTGCTGAACCTGTAGATGTTGGCAAAAAAATAGAGGTGAGTTCCTGAGAGTCACAGAAAATCATACATGGATATATTGACTTACCAGTAGTAACTGTTCTGGAATTTAGTAAAACGAAAATCACATTTTATAAAAAAATAAGTGCAAAAATGAAGAAGATCAGAATTAACACCAGTTCAGTTTGTGCTTTCAGAAGCTGTAAAGCCACGTACAATTTTAATTTGTCCTTGAATGCCTGCCCTTCATTGACCACCACAGTGATTCAACTTAATTTTTAGAATTAAATTGTGACTTGAGATTTCTACAAATTGAGTCCAGTTAGAGAGAGCACACTTACCAAGTTTCTTCAATATCATAAAACCAATATAATAAAAACAAATATGGTTATTTGCAGATTACCTCTATAGCATTAAGTCTTGGAAATGAAGATAATTGCTGTGCAATACTACGCTGGGTTGGAGCTGGTGGAGATTCTGCTTCATTAACAAATGTACAAGAACAAGTGCAGATGAAACGTGGTCCACCTAAACCAAATGAATATGATTGGAGCAATATCACACTGGATCCAAGCATAAGGTAGCTACCATCTACAATTTTTGATTTACTTGTACTTGAGGCATATTTTGATGTTGATGTTGAATTTATTGAAACATGGTTTCAACTTCAATTGAGGGTCCCAGACCAATAAAGATACTTGATTGGGTGTTCTCAGTATATTTTGCTGATTTTAAAATCTTGATTAACACATTCTATTGGCTTTTTCAGTATTATTCCCAGATGTTCAAATTTGGATATTCAATTGGATCACAACCCGCCATCATTAATGAATGAATTTTATTATGCCAAAGTCATTATCACAAATAATGAAGACTTAGAAATTCAGAATTTATGGTAAGTTTTAAAACTATAACTTCTATTGCAGTTTAAATGACTTATTACTTTTCTGAGAATTGCAATTGTTAAAATTGAAATTATTTGTATTACCTGGTGTGTTTAATGGTTTAATTTGATTATAAATCTCTATTTTGGCTTCTACCTGTATCTTGGATATGCCTTGTCCAAGCACATTCAAGTCCCACATACTTGGATTTAAAATGGCCGTCTGGCTTATCATTTATCAAAGTCAAGCATCTCTCTATGCTAGAACCCTAGTAAAATGTTTACTGTTACTCTCTAGAATCCCAATAAAATGTTAACTATGACTTTCCAGGGTCCCAGTGATATGTTCACTGTGACTCCCTAGGACCCTAATGAAAGGTACACTGTGACTCCCTAGGACCCTAGTGAAAGGTACACTGTGACTCCCTAGGACCCCAGCGAATTGTTAATGGATACAAAATTTGCATAAATTATTCTCCCGCAAATGAAATCAGTTCATCGTATACTCTTAGCTTCTTAAAGACAGAGAGATTCACTCTCACAATATTTCTTACAACAAAAATGATACAGTATTCTGTTCAGTGGAGTCAAATCAGTGGATAATATAGTACTTAACATATATACATTGTTTTTTTCACAGTATGCAGATAGGGTTGAAAGAAGGCCAAGAGAATACATTAGAGCAGTCAAGTAAGTTTGAGAAAAGTATGATTCAATCCATTGAACATTGTTACAGTACAAAATATATACCTATTGTAAGTATTTTGTCAACAATTGTCAACAAGTAATCTTAGTACAAACAAAAATAAAAACGGCATCATCACATCATTTTTCAATTTTCCCTAGGTCGAGAAAAAAACAAACATTATTAGCTTTCAGTGCTGTTAAAAGTTTAAGTTATTTACTACTCTGACTGTAACACATTCAACTGTTTGACAAATAAATACAAGAAAAATACTTAGAACAAAATGATAATAATGAACTTGATGTTTTCCCATGATCTGATCTGACTGTACAATTAAAAAACAAGCTTAAAACACTATTTATTAATGAATTGTTCATTGGCATGAAGGCGAGTTTCCTAAACATACCAAGAAAATAGTTGCACCTGTGTAGCTACTACTATTGTAAACTGTCTGCTCTGTGAAATCTTTGTCTTGTCCATTGTTATGTATGTATAGTGTGGCTTTCTTGAACCATTTGAATGCTCAAATCAGCATTTGTCACCACTTGCATAACATTTTTAATGATTTGATTCAAGACCTGGAAGCAATGGAGAATTTTGTCTGTTTGATCCAAAATTAATAGAGAAATTTGGTTTAAAATTTGTAAAATTTTGGTGCGAAAAATGATTGCATTCAAAATGATTAAATAAGTTTATCAGTATTAGTTATACCTATGTCTTGCTTATTTGGTGTTTATTGTGAGTGCCCCACCCCTTTGCTGCTCAGTAGTTGTATTTCTCGATCTACAATACTTCCATTGTGAAAACAACAAATTTTTATTGAGAACTAAACTTTTTTAAAAGGTGAAAGGCGTAAGCTGCTCACACTTCTGTTAAAGTTTATCATTATTATATACTAATTGTATAGTAAGTGACCAAGAAGAGGTTAGATATAATTGTTTGTTATTTTCTGTTAAGTTATGGGGTCTGCCTAGAACAGAGCCCCTATCCCTATGCACTTTAAACCATTTCTTTTACATATTTAGACATCATTTTCTTAGAGACACACACAACTGCTTCAGTTTACTTTTTTTGCTGAAAATACAATTTTTTTGTAGCATGTTTAATGTTTTTTTATAGATGTTTTTTTGATAAAATGGACAATACAGTCTTCTACATCCAGGAGACAATATTTCCACCATGAGAGCATGTCAGTCTAGTTTGAGAGCATCAGCACTTTTTGCTTTTCACATATTTGATATTTATTCTTTTAGTTATTTATGTTTGCATGGTTTGTGTTTATAGCCCAGGTTTTCTTAGACGAAGCTACAATTGGAATTCCAGGTCCTTCCAGAATTAAGAATGTTGAATTGGG